ATTTATTATTATTATTATATATTTTTTTTTCTTTTTCTTTTTTTTTTTTTTTTTTTTTTTTTGGTATATTAAAGCTAATCGGGATAATGATTAGAATGTCTCCCGTTTGATTATCATGAATTTTTGTGAAGTTCTTCCGTTATCGTTTTCAATCTGAAAATATATTGATTATTATGAAAACATATAGATTATTATGAATTATATTATGAACATTATTGAGATTTCAAATAACAATACTTCAAAAGTTCTGTTTGAATACGATCCGTAATCGCTTTCCTTGCTTCCTCTTCAGACACTTTTGACATACGCAATTCTTCTATTAATTCGCTAAAATCTATTGGATCACCATAATTCATAGTGACCTTTTTGCGTATTTTCAATCTATACGGTGGTTCATTCGGTAAAACATCGTCCATGCCAAGATGATAGATTGGCACTACTAGCGGCGGAACAGGCGATTCAAATATTAACCTTCCAATACCCCACTTTAATCTGAACACGATAGAACAGATAGAACAAAATTTTTATCGATAAAAATAAATAAGCAAAAAAAGAAAAGAAAAAAAAAAGTTTAAGAAAAGATAAATAAAATGAAATATGGAATAAATATAAAGAAAAAAAAAAAATCGCGAACCTCATAGTTTCTTTAAACATGTTTACTTTCCCCTCGGGGAAGACGTGAATCCATTCACCAGCGGCCAACTTTTCGATGCAGAAATCCATGGCTTCTTGATACACACCTCCACCTCTGATCACGGGAATGCATTTGCCCAGCATAAAGAAGTATGAATGCCAGGAGTTTGTGAAACAAATGTCGTGGGCCGCAAGCGACCACCTGATCTTACGTCGATCCATCAGATACCTCAGGTCCAGGCTCGCTAAATGAGTTCAGAGATTTTTCTGTCTTAAATTCTTTCATTCGATCGCTTATCGATGGTCATTCTGAGAAAGAAAAGATATGATTCAGGAAAAGGAGAATTCGTGTATATATGAAGGTATGCAAGCGTATGTGCATGTATGTGTGTCTAAATAATCAATAATACTAATAATTTATTAGTAAATCAATAAAAAAAAAATCGAAAATGATTTAATAAAAATGAATAATATATGAATATACTTATATGATATTTCATCACATTATATTGTTTTTGTAAAATCGATTATCGATTTAAAAATTATTATTTTATTAACAGTATTAATAATTAATAAAACAATTTGTTTAAATATAAATATTTAAATATTATAAGTATTCTTTTGTTTGTGCAAAGCCATTGTAAAATAATCTTTATTAGCACTCACATGTACTCCGCCATATTGTTCTTCGTATATACAACAAAGAAATATTTTATAAATAAAAAAACCACTAGTGTATATTATTCATATAAAAAAATGTCGATAAAAAAATATTCTCCAACCTACTAATAAAGTATATTCAGTATCAGTATTCAGTATTAACATACAATATTATTGGAATATCCTTTCATCGTTTCGATCACGCGTCATTAATCGATACATACAATAAAATGTTTGCTAACAAAACATAACAATGGAGGTTGAAAGCTATATTGATGAAACAGTGTCGAGTGTTTAAGTTAATGAATAACAGTCGATACGGTGATCCGATTGTTGAACCAATCTAAAAGAAACTTACCCCATATACCAGGATCATCGAAGCAACTGTGATGATTTGACACTGTGATTAACGGTACATTTTTCGGTCGTTCGTCTAACGCTCGATTGATGATATGCTTGTTGTACACTGTTGTTCTGTTCAGCCATTCTTAAACAGCACGAACGGAAAAGAAAATGCTCTTCGGTAAATTAATTCGCATACCAGAAAAAAGATTACAGAATACTACGTGTATTTCGTGAAATTCATTTTAATTGTATATACTTGACATAACACACACTTCATCTTGATTTACATAGAATTGGTTTTCTTTCACATGCAATGAAAAGTATGATTTACATTTGTGTAACACTAGAACTTTAAAATAAAGCTAAATTTATTTATACTTGATTAATGAAATAATTATTAATTAATACTAAAAGATATGTAAAAATATAATATTAAAAAAAATAATTAGTTTTAAAAAAATGTTAAAAGTTTGTTTTTATTGTGACTGTTATGAAAAATAATTACGTACGAGATTAATTACGCAAATAATTACGTATGAGATTAATTACGCAAATAATTACGAAATAATTGTACATCTCATAATATATAATCAATATCATTATCTCAAATTAACTTTGATTGATTTTAAAATGAATAATAAAGATATTGATATAATGATTTATAAAATAATTATAAATATTTTATAAGATTTTAAAAATTATTTTATTATTTTTAAAATCTTATTTTATATTTATTTTAAAAATAATTTTATATCTCTTTTAATTTATATTTTATAAAATAATTATGTGATGTTATAGTGATGTCTATATATGACCATAAACATACAAGATAATGTTGAAATTATATTTTAATGAAAATATAAAAATCAAATTATCATAATATTTTTGTAATTTAATAAATTTAACATTATAATAGTTTTTGATTAATCTGAATATGATTTCTAAAACAATTTTTATCTTTATAGATTTTTTGAATTATGAATTATTATTAATCAATCTTTCATATTCAACTTTCAAAAACCATTGTTCTGATTACTTAATTAGAATTATAGAATGAAATATTATCTAATCAGAATCATAAATATCGCAATGGACAAAAGAATATTGGTTATGTAAAATTTAATCATATATAATGTAAAGATAAAATTGAATCTGAAGGAATAAATAACGCGAATATTACACGCGAATAGATTGATAAAACGAACAAAAAGAGAGAAGTAGGAAAGAAAGAAAAGGATTGAATGGAGATGGAAAGATACACGGAGCGCTACGAGTCCAATTGAGTAATGCGCTTAATTTCCGAAGTTTATTGTATCGCAGCTAAGTCAACGTCAACACTAAGTCGGGTCTATTGTAAATCAGTGGTACTCACTGAAAGACCAGCGAAGGCTAATGACTGATTTCCTGTGCCCTTTGTAGGGCGTTAATGCGTACCTGATCTTTCCTGAAATTAGAAACACCAATCTCGCAAAACATAATAATAATGATACAGAATATACCTTCTATATTTGGATAACATATGATTTGAATGGATTAGCTATTAAAATTAAAATATAATTAATTAACCATTTTTTGAAAGTCATGCATCATTACATGTATGTATATGCGAATATAAATTAATTTATAATAAATGAAAAAGTGTATATGCTTATAAAATGAATATCTGATAATATATCGCATGATATTTATGATGACGTCACATGGAATGTCCAATTCTATTGTAATGAAGTGTGTAAGAAATTAAATAATACATATATTTATCGCATTTTTTACTTGTATTTATTTGTTTCATTTTGTTTTTATTTTTATATATATTTTTCTTAATTATGTTCATATAAATTTTTGAAACATAAATAATAAAAAACAATTAAAAGAATTCTAATATAATAATATAAAAAAATTAAATAATATAATTTAAAAATGTAACAATCATCATATATAATTGATTTCTCATGTTTTAATCATGTATATATATTTAAAAATAATTTTAAAAAAATTACATCTTAAATGCATCTAGAAATTATAAACCATGATAAACAGATATATCAAACATTTAATTATTATATGTAATCTTTTTATGATATATCGAACGAATATTATATTACATTATTATGTAAATTTTATCCATTAAAAACTGTTTAAATAACTATTTAAACAAAAATAAAAATAAATTATTTTTAAATAAATTTATTTCTATTTTATAAAGAAACATTTATTTACACGTGCTATTGCAATATATTAATATACATAAAATTTAATTGTTATTCAACAATTCAAACAAATAATTATATTAATATAAATTTTCAAATAATTCTAAATAGTATTATTATACGTAATTTAAATTTAAAACAAATTTTTTGAATTTATTTTATGATTATCATAATGATTAAATAAAATAAATTTATAGTAGACGACATTATTATATAAATATTTTTTGTACTACTTTGTTATAATTTTTCATATATTTAATTATAAAAAATAAACTTCTCAATCAAATAAAGTTACAAATAGTCACGTTTCTTTTTTATTTCTATATAAATGATAGACATAAACTATGGAATATATATATATATATATATTGCGAACTAATAAATAGTTAAATCTGTAATATATCAAGAATAATTTTTTAAACATAAATTCGAACTATCACTAATGATTGAACACATCAATATTAAATAATATATAATAATTTAAATAATTAATTTGTGTAACTCACCTATAATAATTTTAGAGAAAATCCCTACTGCTACGAAGGTTATGCTACTCGCAATGTTCCAAAGACTGCTTGGATTTCGAAGCTTCGGTATGATCCATTTGATGTCGTATACCATCGCACTACCGTCCGCTTGCTAGATCAAGGAAAAATAGCAATGCGGTACTTTTTCCGGACGACTGGGAAGTGCCTTCCCCGCGAGAAATCGTCTACTCTTTCGTAACTCACAACAACCATCTTCGTACCAACTTCACGCCATATTTCTCGATGAGTGTCACGTGGTTGGCTGAACGTATCCGAACATATCCGAACATTACCGATTATTGAAGCATTTAATTTAATATTAAAGATACTTCGAACTTTTGTCCTCACTTTATTTAACAACGTACATGTATACCATTATTATTAAATTTTATTAATTTCAATTATTATTTTTTATTAACTTATTATATATTTAATTATTCTTTTTTCAACAATAATGTTATAATTATAACGATAATATATTATATATATATATATAAGATATTATTATATTATATAAGATATTATTATAACTTAAATAAAAAATTCATTTTTTGTTAATAAATAATCTATATAAATCTACATAATAACATATAAAGAAACATATAAAGATAATTTATAAATTATTATTTATAAAATATGCTTTTAAGAATAAAAAAATATAATTAAAATTTGTAGAATAATAGTTAATCAATATTTAAAAATCAAGAAATTAAATTACAAAAAGAAAAAAAAAATATGAACGAGAATCAAAAAATATTGTAATACGATTTTATTCAATATAAAGGAAATTTTCAATGACATAACAATATAAGAAAATATTAATCTAAATAGATATAAATTTATAGATATAAATTCAATCTGGTCTAAATAATTATTCTAAATATATAAGTGTATATAATAAAGAATAATAGTAATGTGGTCTTGTTAATGGAACTCAAAAATTACTAAAGATATATTATAATAATCATCATATATTAATTTAACAATAAAATATTTGAAAGATCGTAAATAATTATTCATAAACATATATGCAATAAAGCACAGATGTCACAAAGTTGTCGGAGATGCTGCAGTTGAAATGTCAATTGAACACCTATTAGAAGTTAATGAAGTGAAAAAGAACGCTGGAAAATTATGAAGAGGCAAAAGTTGAAGAAGGAGGCGTATACGAGTACATACATTAAGAGCTTCAGGTTAAGTTCACGCACAGAGAAAGAAAGGACGATGCACAGGAGCATTGAGAAGGTGAAAAAGAAGGGAAAAGATACAATGATGCGAAGCAAAGTCGAAGGCCGCGGGGGAGGGATGAGAGGAGAATGTCCGGTGGCATGTGAAAAGTGGGGGTCTGACGCGAGTAGAGAAGCAACCAGTCGAAGGGGTGTGGGAGTGGGGGAAAAGGGCCTCATCTCTACAGCCAGTCCAATTCGAGTCTTTCAACTGCGTGTTGCTGTGCTATCGTATATACAAGATTCTCTTCCAGTTTACAACTGTAAAGAGAATATCTTGAAGCACTATATTGAGAATCAACTACAAAGTGTCTCGTCTTCGCAGAAAACGACGCGTGTTTTACGACAGAACACTATCGAATCAAGCGATCGAATTCGATTATTGGATAATATAAAAATGCGATCAACATCAAAGGTCGATTATTTCATTAAAATAAGGCTTTTTCATTTATCTTCATCCATTTCTGTAACCTTGAGATGACAGTTCTGATAATGGTGCTAGCGTTACTGCCGACAATGCATCTTACGGCAAGCTTTTCGATCGTTGAACCGCGGATACTGAAGATCCGCGAAGTGAAAATGTCCACTTTCTGTGAAATATGAGAAACTCGACAGTGATACGATAGTAAAAAAAAACACAAAAGAATAAAACAATACAATTCAGTAAGGTCGAAAAAAAAATAGAAAGAGAAAAGAGAGCGAGCCGAGCATTCGGCTTGACTCGAGTGCAGTATACGGTGATGCCGCGAAGATGCCACCGTCGTCAATTCTCTCAACACAATATACGGCGCGGTGGTATCCCGTGATTTACCGGGGCCTCACGACTCAATGCCATGACATTACATTATTACTCGTGTGGTGTGGTGCAAGTGCAAGTGCAGGTGTAGCTGTGAAGTGGTGCCATTTCAATAACGAGAGCATATACGCGGGATATTACGCGACACGAGAAAGGATTCGCATTCGGTTATGCATCAAGTCAAGAATTCTCATATTTAATGATTCGCGAGTGACGCTTTCGAAAACAAATTGGTTAGTATTTATGTGTTTGTGTATGTTCGTCATTTCATGTTATGCGGAAAATATTTTTTTTCCAAAGACAAGCAATAAACCTGGCATACGAATAACACTCGTGCGAAGAACGGTGAATTCGTATTACAAGTTCTCGCCGGACTCGAGTAGTTCGAGCTATACCGAGCATCGTAGTTTCAGCATCTTGGCTGTAGCAGAGAGAAAGCAACAGGTATGTGTATAGAGTATACGATCCGTATTCTCGGTAGTTGCACGGTCGTGTTGCCTGTTCGTTCGCGCACGGACGTGCGCATGCTCTTGATCGAAGATCTCGCCGTGCACAAGGCAATATACAGCACCAGGCATCGGTGACTGTGTGTGTCTTTCATCGCGGAAGAACTCCAGTTCAGTCCAGTGAGGCGAGGTCGTCTTCTTGCATCTGTATATCTTATATACAAGTTTTGTATTTATCTCTTTGAATAAGATGACCGTGCGAAATAAATGTTGTATACAATTGTACAATTTGTATACAAGTATATAAGCTTTTTTCAGCTAATTTCATTCGTTTTCGGTAAAGAAAATTCATCCGATTTATTTATTTCAATGTTTTGTTCAAAATGTGCGAAATATAATCATTATTTCTCATACGCATACATATTATATATATATATTTTTATATACATACATTTTTCTATACATATACATAGCTCTATATATGTACATGATTCATTGACAAGATGGTTTCGACACTAATTGAATGTCATATTTCTGTCGAATAAATTTCACTAAATTGATTCACTTTGATCATTCCGCGACTTTCAGACTGTGCTCGTTAAGTAAAATTTATGTTCCCATTCGCCTGCCCCTTTTCACATTTTGGAAACTAACCGAATTTCTTATAATATTCGTAAAGTTAATAACAGATAAACTTATAAAATTTTTTGACTGAATGCATCGATTTTGCATACATTTTATTTTATTAAGATTTCAATTAAAGTGGATGAATCAACATTGATATTAAAATCCAATCAAAATTTTTCACATGAAAAATCATGGTGGACCATCTTTTCAGGGAATGTTAATTGGTCGTTTCACAAATTACAAAAGACCAACAGTAGAGAACTCCAAGTTGCTATCGCTTCCATTAACATACCTCAGTTCACCCTATTGATGTCATTGTACGCTAGCAATGCTTAACGTTAACGATGCAAAAAGAACTAATTACGGCAACCTGCAACCATTTCTATATATCATGAGCTATATTGTAGCCTATTTTCCTTATTTCTCGTACTTTCGACCAATTATGGTAAGCAATTATAACTAATTATTATCGTTTATTTGGTTCCGTGAATTCGAAATTGCTAATATTCGTTTATGAATTTCAACAATATTTTGAAATGGTTCTCGGCAAAATGACTTGTAATATTATACATCACAAAGTGATTATAATTGTATGAATGAAATAAATGAGCACGATGTAAATTGGATTTTGGAAATTGTTCCAGTTCGTGAGAGCAATGGGCGGCCATGGGAATCTTTTTTTTAAAAAATTATTCATAATTGAACATATATTTATATAAAATATGTTTGTTAAAAAATCAAAACCTTGGCTCATTTACTTTTATTGAAAGTTTCTTTGGATAAAGTTTGCACTTGCATCGAGCAAAATTATATATTGTTTACGACTTCTCTTACGATATATAGTTTTATTAAAAATACGTGAGTAGTTACAGTGATTAAATACTCATGCTTATTTCATTTATGGCCTATGAAATTTGATTTTTTGAAATTCTATCATCACGATCATACATAAATTATACAAATTATTATCGTTGAAGAAAAAATCTACTACTATTTTCTGTACTTACATTCTAGATTACAATTTATATAAATAAGATTTATTAGTAGATAAATATAATAGGTAAAATAAATATTATATTGTGATCGATTTTTTATTTATAATAAAATGATGGTTAGATGGGGTTAACAAAGTATAATGAAATTATTCATGTGTTAGTAGTAGTTAGAAATGATTAAAATGTTGATGATTTTAATCTTCTGTTTAATTTCTCTGCATAACATTATGTTGAACGTGAAAGTGAAATTGTATTAGTTAATAAAACGATATGTATTTTGTGTGCTTTTCTTAATAAAGAGACTTTTTCATTATTTATAATTTTACATACACTGGCACGAGACAATCGCAAATACATGAGTGATCATGAAACTTTGCGTGGTTTAGTTAATTACACGTTGAGAACTGTATAATGATTAGCTATAGCTTTTTTATCTTTTCTTTTTCTCAGTCGATATCATCTATATTCCATATATCTACTGTGCACAATTATTGTTAACCTTTGACATTATCTTCGATTCGAGCACAACTGACTCTTTTTCTCATTTCGTAGAAATTTTTTTTTCGGTTAATTTCATAATCTGTTTCTTTTACAATTTTCAATTTCATTTTATCGGTTGTGATCAAGCGATTGAAAAAAAGGAATAATTGACAATTACGCTAAACGGCGGGATAACTTATCGACTATCGTTCTCGATGGTTCTGTTTTATTTCCATGCACATACAGCTGCGCCATTATTTTTGATCGCATCTCTGAAGAGAAATATTTATAATGTCGATGAAAAAAGTCGAGCACAAGAAGCAGAGCGTTTAAGATACGAAAAAGGAATACAGAATGATGAAACTGTCGGCGTTTCTCGCGTGGTATACAAAGGTTTTCGTTGTAATAAAATTTCTAGAAGGTGTAATTACCTGGTGTCGATTAATCGACATGCGATCAAAGTGTTCGAGACATTGGTTACCCGTTAATTACTGGTTTTCATTATTAATTCGAACAGGGCGTAATCACTCGATCCTCTCTATTAGAAGATGCCTTTAATTAATTATTTTTGCGGTACACTTTGTTGTTGCAGAAAATAACGAAAATGTTAAATTAAAAAATATAACAACAAATTTTAGCGCAGAAAGGATTAGGAGAAAAAATTGGACAAAATGAAACAGAGTATTCTTAAATTTAATTAATGATCAATGCGGTATCTCATAAAAATTTTTCACAATTAACGTTGTTCAAAATCATCGTTTTAAACGTTAGTCGTGATAGAATAATGTTGCGAAGTCTACGCATGCGTATTTATGGAATATATGTTAATATCGTTCGCCGTATTAAAGGAATCATTTGTCTGATTTAATAACGCGTTGGTGAGTTTGGTCACGGTAGAATGTTAATTTACGGTAATTATTGTAATTTATGATAATGGATGGTATCAACTTCTTCCAGCTTGGCTCAGCTTATATTGAAGATCGCGACACTAATGCATCATTTGCATAAAAACGAATGAAACGACAAATTTTTGTCGAGAATTATACTTTATAAAATGAGAATTATACTTTGCAAACCGAAGTAGAAAGAAAATTGCTTGAAAATTTACAATCGTGCTCGATCATAATATTAAATATTATATACATCAGTATTAGATATTAGATATAAATATATCATAATATTAGATTGTTGTATAATAACGAATATTACTTTTCATCGACTATTCAATTCAAAAATATTCGACATTTGTTTCCATTTATTTTGCTTAGATATCTTTTAATTAAGAATTAATTAAGAAACTATACAATTGAAAAAAATATATCGATGGTTTTTATTTTAATTAAAATTTATTGTATTAAAATTAGATATAACTCTTTACATTTACCATGCAACATATATCATATAAATAATGTATTAATAAGTAGTAATCATTATGAAACATCACATAATAATCATAAAAAAATAATGAATTCGAATAAATCTTACTTTTTATTATAGGATGTTGTCACCTCAAGACGGTCAATCCAACACTTACTCGCACGGTAATGTCGTCCTTCAAGGTGCACCCTGTGGTCAATGTCGAGATTTATGTCCAGCTGGATACGTGCCTCATTTTTGGCGGTAAGTAATCATTATTTTATATAAATAATTTATTAAAAAATTAGTATTATAGATTAGTTGTTCAATAAATTATTAAAAAATAAAATTATTTTAATTGACATGTCCTAACGAAATGTATCAAAAACGAATCCTGCTCTTTGCTTCTTAATACATTATTTTTTCTTTTTTGTTTTTTTTTATTCTCGTAACAAAATAAGAAAGTGTTTAATATTCATAATGTATTTTAGATGAAAGCAAAATGAATAATTTTACTCAAAGTGGTATTGCGAGCGTTTTTACCATCAGAGCAAAGTTATCATTATGCGGCAATAGAAATGATTACAAGAGAAATTATTGATTGCGTGATCAATGACATATAAATAATATATGAAATACATAAATACGTCTATAATATCAATAAACGAATACTTATATGATGTTTTGATTTTCTTAAGCCAGTGATATTTGTTTGGAAAGCAAAAAAGTAATATACTATAAACAAAACAGATGAAATATAGTATGATTTTCTGTAATAAAAATAGTTGAGAGATAAATAAATATTAAAAAAGAAAATTATCTTGAGTTGAAAACGTAAGATTTGTATATCGATTTAGCTTTGAAACAAAGAAATGTATCATTCCTATATAGAATAGAATACAGAATATGTTTAAATATACATATTCTAAATAAAATAAAATATTATTTTTACTAAATTATGTAAATAATATTAAGAATCACTTTAGAAGATGTTATTAGAATGTCATTCAAAAAATAAATTCAATGACATATTAATACTATGATTAAATTTGTCACTTTTTTTACTAATATACTGTTTCATTAATTGTTAGCATTATTTAATACTAAATTTTAATGCATCATTAATTCATGGAATTAGAATTTTCAATTTTGCAATATTGAATTATTGAGAGTTATTGAGAATTATCTAAAATTTCTCATAATTCTTTTCCAATTATCCTTTCGAAAATCTTCTTCATCTCTTCGTTCAAAGAATTGACAGCGTATGATGCGCGAAATGCGTTCAAATTGGTAGAACGTGTTGTGCAAATAATGAAGGGTCGATTTCTCAGTGGTGGACAGCCAGTCACGTGGGATAGAATATCGCTGTGGTGGTGGTGGTGGTGGTAGTAAATAGGAGGCGGTTGAGGCGCAGAAACATCGTGAAAGCGTGTATGCTGGATTTGTAAAGGCAGAGCAAAGGGAAGATCGAAAGAGGGCAAAAGGAAGGTTTCTTCTCGGCTTCGGGTCGTAAGGTCGACTCGTCGGTCTCACGCGAGGCCTGCGTGCAACGAGACCAACGATGGGCTGTTCCAAGACGAATCGGCTGGCAACCAAGCTAACCGATGAGAAAGAACGAGAGAGTATGCACCCCCAGCTTGCCAAACGATCGGACGTCGAGTGAGAGATGGAAGAGAAGAAAGAAAGAGGGATGTATGTCGGTCTGTAATTAACATACCGAGTTCCCTTTCTCTCCCCTTGTATTAAGTTAGTTCATTCGTTCGCAGGTTCACTAAGAACTTGTTGTTCTCTTAAAAAGCTTTATAGGCCCCCATTTTATAATTTTTCGATCGATTAAAATTAAATTAAAATCTTTGATATGATAGTTTGATCGAGGATAATATTTATTGCAAGTTATTCCATTTTTGAATGTAAAAAAATTAAAAGATTATTCGGTAGAATATAAAGATATATAATTGATAGCATTATAAGGATATATAATTATTATGAATAAAGCAATTTGTCTTTAATCTTTAATTGTCTTTAATTTGATTAAATTTATAACAAAATATATTTAAAATTATTGTCTGCTATTTAATGTATATTGCAAAATTTCTTGAGTTTTAAATATTAAACATTATTTACAACAATTTTACTTAAATTTTAAAGATCTTAATTTCTCTTTAAAGAGTAAATCGAATAAAGATTACAGATAAAGATTATAGAAAACATTTTTCACGAACATAATAAGGAATAATAAAGAAATCACTCAATGAATAAATCTATGTAGGATGGTTTTGTCTATACAAAATATATTCAATAATTTGACAGATTATATCTCTGTATAATGAAGATAAAAATATCTTCGATAATTTATATTTAGTAATTAAAATCTTAAGAAAAACTTTATAACTTTCTAGAAAAATTAATCATTTTTTTTTTTTAAGAATTATATCCATGTAAAAATTTAACAGCATTAGTATAATCTATATAATACGAACATATGTTTTCTTGATCAATGAAGATATATTTTTGATATAATCGTATAGCTAATTTAGCAGCTAGAATCGAACCTAACCTTTTAACTAGTGAGTGTGATGCATAGAAAATGTATTTACATGAATACTTATTATAAAGATGTACAGTTACAATAGCATAATTCACTTTCTATTCTCATTTCATTATTCAATATGTCCCGTATATTCAAGGTTTCTATTTTATTAAAATCGCTTTAATTAATATTCAATTGATACATGTTTGTAAATCATAAAAGAAGGCGAGGCTTCTTGTTAACTATTTTCATGCTAAATGCTGTTTATTCTTGTTATAATAAAAATGTTTTTGTGATTAATCAATATACTTAAATAGATGAGATAATTTTAATTATTCATAGATACATTATATTGTGTAATAGAAATGAAAATAAAATTAAATTTTTAAGAACAATATTTACTATTTTATTAATATCTTATTACTTTTTTTTTTTATATAAAAATTTTAAAATTATTATACAAAATCTTACATAAATACTTATATTTGACTTTTCATTCTTGTAATATATACTATTATATTATATTATATTACATTATTCTTAAGATTGTTTTCTTAATTATTACTATTTTTCTTTAAATCTCTCATCATACATATATCCTATTTCTTGACTAACTTTACACAAATTAATACCATGAAAACAATATAATGAATGTAATATTATGAAAATCATGTTATTCCATTGTTCGTGGTGCCAAAATACTTCATGGTTTATGATTAACATCATTTGCAAGATTCACCAAGAGGGGAACTCGTTAGGATCATTAAGGTTCTTACGAGCCAACGCGTCAACACGTTTGACAGAACATGTAATCAACAACGACGATGAGGTTATGAGTCTCCTTGTGTTCGAATAGGTAGTACACATATAGATAATATGCGTTCGTTCTTGAAGACAGCCGTCATACTAAAATCCAATGAAATACGATTCATTCCCTTTAGCTGGAAAAAAAAAAACGAAAAAGAAAAAATGGCAATGAAGAAAAGAGAAACGATAACGTCTCACAGATATAGTTTGTTTTTGGTCATTTCGAAATCATTAAACTCGCAGTTTTATTTGTCATTAACAGTTTTAATTTCGCCCCTTCGCTTATCTTTGCCAGTTCTTGGAAGCTTGAAATTATCTTCGATGAAATGGTGGTGTGTGATTCGTTATAGAATCGTTTATTCTAAAGAAGCGAAGATCGGCGCCAACTGTAATAAAAGAAAGAAATAAAGAAAATAAGATAGATAGCATTCTGATATATTTGTCAAAATGAAGGTTTTTCTATTGCACATTCTTATTTTTCGTATCTTCCTCTGTGTGAGTATCAGTCGATAGAGGGAGAACTCACTGGAAATCGCACAACTTATCTGAGGGGAATCTGGCTGGGCATTTTTATCGAAGTCTTGAACGTTTTATTTCAGGAGATTATAGTCTTTTCATGTTGTTTATTGGACGATATTACAAAAGGAAAGAAAAAAAAAAATGAAAATAAAAATTAAATATCTTCATATCCTGATTTCTTTTTTCTTTTTAAAAAGATGGAGAGTATGGTATAATAGTAACTGTAATTTTTATGAAAATTAATAAAATAATGCAAAAAAAAATAGTAATATAGTTAAGAAAATATATAAATTTAATAAATTGTTAAAGAAAAGTACTAAGTTACTGTTATGAAACATAAAATGAAATTTTTAAAAATTTCTTTGGCTTTAAAATTTTTAAAAAATTTTAAGAATTATTTCAATAATAATACTCACTCATTAAAATTGTTTAACTAAAATCAAAATAATTGTTGATCTTGGTAGAAATCGAAGATAAACACTTTTATTCAGTTCCGAAAAAGTATGCCCCTAAAAGTTCAGCGTCTCTACACCGATTTCTTTACGTTCATCGAACCGAGAACAGAAAGGGTTAGAAGAGAAGAAGAATGTCGCTCCGCGTCGCAGGTTTCGTATGTCTCACAAAAACTTGAAGACCTTTGGTTCCTCTTGTCCCGACTCCATCTCCACAACTCGTTCGGCAAACTCGTTCTTCTTTCGATGCATCCCCCGAATGCAGGTCGTGCAGTTTCACTTGTCATTGCATCGCTCTTCTCACGATTTTTTTTATCAAAATTTATCCATATGCAATCATTGCTTCTTTTGGCCACATTTCTTCACAAAAAAGAAAAATTAAAAATTTGAAATTTTTTTTTGAAAACGTAAAATACATTTTTGATAGAAATTTCTTAATAGAATTCGAGAAAAAAATGTAATCTCATCGAAAAAAATCAGCATTAAGTTTATACTTGATTCACATACTTAAATTTTGTACTCATATAACTTTTCATTTAACTTGATTTGATTTAGTTTGATTTTTATTTTTGAATTTGTTTGATTTATATTTATTTTTAATTCAATGGTTTAATTTAGTTTAACTCAGTTGAACTTCAATTTTTATCTGCTTCAATTTATCATTAATATGTTATAAACTTTATTTTTCATTTAATATTCAATACATTCAGTTTCAATTATTTCGATTCATTTGTATGTTTTAAATTTTATTAATTATTTTGTATATTTCACATAACGCAATGTTCTTGAAATCAAGAAATATGAATTTTATAAAATTTAAGACGAAGTTATGTGATTTTCAACGAAATGAGATAGCAGAATTATTTTTATGGAAAAGAATTTGCTCACTTTTTCTGATTCTTTCGGCCTACCTTTCTATATCGTGTTCAGAAGCCGCATCATGTTCTGCCTTTTATGGTAAACACTACCCATCTTGAAAACTGTTAATTAGTTTTATTCGCGTTCATATTTAAACGTTAATCGGAATCAAATATATTCAAATTCTCTTAAATATTATTCTGCTTCATTGTAAACGAGTATTCTAATTCTGTGCTATAAATAAGAATTTATAGAAAAAAAGAATACACAATAATACAAACAATTATATCTATATATTCCAGACGGTAAAGTTTATCATAACCTAACTTTTACTGAACTTTTAGTTTAATCTATTTTTCAACAAATCATATTTAACGTTATTTATTTTACATTATATGGAATTAAATATAGTAATAAGATTAACACAGTATAAAAACGAACACCTTTTTTTACCAGGATAATGAACAAGAAATAAATAAAACTCTATAGTATGGATATAATGATAAAATTTTTATATATCCGATACTATAAAAAAACCATAATAATTTATAATAATAAATAGAATCATAAAATTAAGTTATATAACCACTATTATATAATTATATAAATATAATTATCAAATAATCTTCGTTTCTGTTTACAATTTTCAAAATATTTCATGATCTTTCAACGACATACGTTGTGAACTTTCTCGATTTCAACCAACTTTCTGCGCTTGCGTCGATGAAGAAAGTGAAGAGAGTTAAGAAACTCGATCGATATGTAAAACGTGTAATCTATCGATTGAGAAACAAGCAAGTGATGTATCGAATGTTCGATACTTTCCTTTCGCTCTATGTTTTCGTGAAATCTTATTGGTCAAATCGATGAAATCAATTATTTTAAATATCTTTGTACACAGTTTAAAAATTAAAGATAAAAATCTTTTTTATAAAAATCTTTTTCGTACAAATTCTCATACTAACAAATTCTATTTCCATTCTATTTTCCCATTTATATATTTTCAATTCCAAAAAATAACATTTATAATTCTGTTTCCGTATCACGATACTTCTCTTATTAACCGTCAGCTAATAAGACAAGACTAAATAGGAAGAACGAGTGGCACGCGCGTTTCAACGGAAATCAATGAAGGTAAAGTTAATGATAAAGAAGCCAAGCAGATTCACGGAAGAATCATTAGATCAGAGAGAGAGAGAAAGAGAGAGAGAAAGAAACAATACGGTTTGACGGAGAGACATACAGTTTTTCATAGATGTTCGTTAGCGCAACGCGAGGCACGATAGAAATGCGATGAAAACACAACCCCTAAGAAAAATCGCGCTACCCCCGCGTACTGACCAAGCTTGAACGCGTGTGGAATGCGGCAAAACCCGATTTCTCGTTCTTTTTTTCGCCTCGTTACACGACTGATAATCGGAGAGGACGATTTTGCTGGAATCATGGGCTCGTTGGCGGTCGGTCACGTAGTAGCCGTGACTTCAGAGCCCTCCTCCCACCATCTGCTCCCCTTGATTAGACAGTATATTAAATATTTCAACCGCCATTACTTTGGATGTATTCTAAGGGGTGGAAATTCATTCCTACGTTATGCGACTGGTTTTTGTTTTTTAACGCATCATATGTGTTGACTTCAAGAGATAAATTCAGAACGAAACGAATGATATCCGAATTCCTTGATATTTTCTAGAAGTTTCTCAGATTGATAAATTGTCACTCACTTTCTTTCTTATTTATTCCTTCCTTATTTTTCTTATCATATGTGTCAATTATATCTTTAATTTCTCTTTCTTCTTTTCCTCATATTTCCTCTTTCTTTTATCATTTCTTGTAATTGTTGCATCATCAAACTTCCCACCATTTGATCACGTGATCACTAGGATGACGGTTGTGACTTCCCGAAATCGTTAATCGCGTTTAATAGGCAGATTTACGGGTTTTTGCGCGCGCATGTTTCGCGCTCGACACGTTGTTTACGTGACCGCGTGCGTACACGGTCGTTTGTCAACTGTTAAACACTGGTCACCCTCGCTCCTCTCCTATTTTGCACCCTTGGTAGGCCACGGGCGATAGCGAGGTTCTCTTGATTAACGAGACACCCCATATATATCCGGAATACCCCCATTCCCCTTCGTTCACTTGTCCACCGCTAGGGGGGAGATCGCATTGTTGCATTCGTGCTTTACTGCATATTGCGCTGCTGGTGCTACGATCGCTATGCTGCCCTGTGACGCTTCCCTCATACCGGTTGAAGTAGACGATTTACCTGTTCTGTTCATTATGAAGAATGCATTGTGATGTTTCTTGAATAATTAATCGAGTAATTAATTAGATAGGAAAAAAAAGATCTATTTTAATTACTTTGTTTTTATGATCCATTTCGCATCATTTCGTGCCAATTACTTGACTAAACGTTTTATTGAATGTTATATAATATTAGAAATTGATTAATTCGAAAGTCGGGATACGAATCGAACATTTATGAAATAATTTATTTCATTAATTAATTGATGACTCGATTAGAAGTCGAATTTTTTTTTTTATTTTGTCAAACATAGTGATATGTAAATCCTTTCAATAATGAAAGTTATTAAATATGTCGTAAACTTTCCTGTTAATTCTCTAATTTTTAATATAATCCATTGATTAATAAAATATTTCTTTTGTAATTTATCGTTATAACAGTTCATATTACCATTGTGAAATATATATTAAAAGTGCAACTTGAATAATGCGTCTGTTTGGGCTTTAGCTTGAATTACTTCGCGTGTATCGTCCCCGCGGACTCGTTGTTTTAATGCCGCGTTAACCATCGATTGCTGATCCAATCAATATCCGATAAGCATGCTAAATGCCTGTCCCAGAGAGAATTCGAAATTCCAATATTTAGCCCTTTATCAAGATTCGTTTTACATTCATACAGATGCATAACAATTAATATTGATAATCTCGTTTAATTTATGATATAAATATAATTCTTTGTAAATGAAACTAAAATCGACTGAATCAGTTGATTTTATTCATAAGATGGATTTACTTCAATCAAGATAAACTAATTATTTCTTGATCATAATTTTAATTTTAATTTTATTGGCTTTTTGTTTAATTTCATAGTTCAGTTCATATTGATATACCTATAATTCAGTTATTTCTGCTTACACTATTCTATCTCATTTTTCTTATTTTCATTTTAATTTCATTTACTCTGTATAGCTCAAACCTTTTCAATATTTAATTTCATGGTATGAATGAACTTCATAGCAAACAGATATAAAATTCTATAAGAACCATTCATTACATGGTATTATAGTTCCATGTTATCCTGTCTATAAAAATAATTCTCTTGCACGATAATTCTCAACTTCCTAATAATCTCCTTTACCAAGCAACCCACTATCCTAACTGCGAACCCTCTCCCTACAATCATCATCACTCCTGGCCACTATACCTATTCAATACATCGGTTCAAACACGATGATTGCAGTAGAAAAAGAAGTTCTATGCTAACGAAAAAAATTGACGCGGTGGATACGTGCACACAATCAAATTGAACTGGCATAAGCAATAGTGGGGATGGTATTGATAATGGGTAGTAGACGTACGTGATGAAACGAAGAGAATACATAGAGAATCTCTGAAATGATCATGTTAAAAACTAATAATGTTTTTAATCTATATTGTTTTTATAATCATCAAGAAACATAAAAATAATTGTAATGCTGTACGATAGTTTATTATTCGTATAAAAATTTAGTTTTCAAAAATGTTAAAAAAAAAAAAATAATCGTATGACAGGTCTATGCTGTATCTCGTCTATGAGATACCAAGAGCTGACTCTTGACCACAAAGCAGTAGTGGCGTATGGTTAAGAGAAGATGGCGAGGGTGGGAATTAAATGGGGCGGACTCTTGATTAGTTTGCTCGTCCACCCTGTTCGGAGCATCCCAGACCGCTCTCACGCTTAATCCAGCATTATGAATATTTTCTCCTCGTCTCGCAGATAGACTTGCCAAGCAGGGAAAAAGCACAGTATTTTTCGACCATTGAATACACAAGTTGACCCGTATATACTTGTTACGTATCATATCTTGGAATGAGTTTTATTATGCCATTGATGGCACTGATGCATCTTCCATATGCTTAAAATTGACCAGTCGTGTACAATTGAACTCATAAATTGAGAGAGAATTGAAACGAGATTTACCGAGATTTGCATCAAATGAAAATTGCATTTTAATTCTATTAATAAATTACATTTGCGGCAATCAATGAATTTCTAAATAATCATCATAATCTTTATCGATAATTTTGTCATCATGATGCATCCAGTATGAACGCTATTATGGAAAAATTTCGAATTATTGGAATTCCACTTATATTCGCGTGGAATCTTGATAACTTTCATTTAAATAATTTCCAATTTGTTCCTCGAATCAAAAAATACTTTTATTGCCTTCAATATCCGTAAATCGTAACCCTTGCTTGTGCAAATCGGCACCCGAGATTTCGTGTTATTTCAAATTCCAGGAATTACGAACAAACCGAGATCTCCAAGTCTTTTGCGAGATTCGCGCGTCGCCGAAAAGGGTTTCCACTTCAAAGCGGAGGAAGCCGCGGGCGTTAAATAAGTTTGGCTGAGTGACGGTTTGGAGGGGGGAGAAATCCGGTCGTTTCGGCTCTCTGAAGCGTTAGGACGCATTTTCGGATGCCGGTGCGTTGCGAGAAAATCGCTCCGAGAAAGACGGAGAACAGTCTTCGGTCGTTTAACGACACAAACCTCACCTCTCGAACCCTTAACCTCCCTGTGTACCCGGAGAATGAATCTCTTGCTGGGTAATTAGGCAGATTACTTTCCGGAGTCGTTCTAGTGTCGGTTTCTTACTCGACTCTAGCCCGGGTATATATTTCGCTCGCTGGGGCGGAGGACAATTAAAGGAAGAAATTCTTTGGCTTCCGATTGGCGGGGGTCAAAGGGGACCACAAAGAAGGGAGAAGGTTATACTGACGGTCGTGTGTCCTGCGCGCAAGATTCGAGCCGAGCTTAAATTCACCGCAAGGCTAATCGAGTAAAAAGCACGTTTCTAGCGGAAGTAATGTCGCACTTAAAGAGCTCCGTAGCAGTGCCATGATTACCGAAAATATCGCGCTCCTTGTCGAAAGAGGGCACTGCGCGCGTCTACCGAAGGAACGAAGGAACACGACTATAGCCGATGGTCGGTAGTAGATGGTAGTGGGGATACGATCGAGCGATGGTAGGAGTAAGATATTTGGAAAAAGATGGAATGCTAGCGCGTCGATGGAAGATGGAGAGAGAAGGAATGACCGGCACGACTGGGCAAGAATATACTGTTTTTATTTACGAGCTATGGAAGATCCAGGTCTCGACTGCGGCGG